GGTCCGCGGGCCCCGCCGGAGTGACCGCTCCGGGCAGCGGCATCTCACAGCCGGGAGCCCCTTACGCTTCCCCGGCGGCCAGTGCGTGTCCTGCGGGGAGCCGGGCGTGGCACAGCTCCGTTTTGAGGGATACATTAAAGCTCCCTTATCGCAAGGAGCCATTTTGACCGCCACAAAGAGTGGGGCTCCCGGAGGCGTCAGAGCCGACCCTGGCAGTGCTGGGCCCTACGCGGCTCCGCACCAGCGCACGCACCCCCACGGGGGCGGGGGCTGCCCACTCTCTGACCAAACGGACCTGATGCCATTTGCTGCGATGGTGTCCGGTCCCGTAGAGTTGGGAATCCTGGAGCGGGGCAGGGAGGGAGGCCTCCGGGCAGTAGATGGGCGACACGAGTGCAGGCCCGACACGACGCCCGCCGAAGAGCAGTAGAGCTGTGAAGGGGAAACAACGCCTCTCTCCAGCCGCCGGCTGCGTGGCTACCACCTGCTCCCCCGGAGCCCTTTGGCCTGCACTTGCGCCACTGCCTAGGGGGGGGGGGGGGGGTTGGTATCGACAGAGCCAGTGTTGACCCCGCAGGGCGTGTGGCGTGGGGATGGGGCCACCAAAACCAGATCAGCACAACCTGTGGCTGCTTAACATCCCATCCCTAGGTACGTGCAGCATAGGCCACCATAAAATTTGAGGCAGCAAACCTAAATTTAGTGGTACCCTAGGCAACTGCACATGCCTAAGGATGGCCAGGAAGGGTGTGTTAGTAGTTAGTTCATTGCTTCAGAGAGGGATGTTAATCTTCAGTCTTTGGCTTCCTCCAGTAGTCCAGGTACACTATTAATATCACAAAGGAAATATTTAAATCTCCCTATTTAAATTAAAGTGTAGGGCAGGTGAGACTTCTGCAGGCAATGCAAACCAGTGGATGTTAATATAAACAATTATTTGCTGGCAATCTCTGAGGATCAGTTTAACAGTCCCTGGTTTAGGCATACCGTCAGTAAACAAGACAGGAGAAACATTCAAACATTGCTTCTTGTCCTATCCGCAGGAGTTAAAAACAATTTGTTTCCTACCATCTTGTAACAACTTTTTATATACTTCAAAAGTTTCAGAGGGGGTAGCAATGTTAGTCTGTAACTGACAAAAAAATAACAAATAGTCTTGCAACAACTTAAAAACTAACAAAAAATCTAGATGGTATCATGAACTTTCATGGGCACAACCCACTTCTTCAGATGCATGGAGTTAAGGGGTCCAAGTTCCAAATAAATACCAGAGAAAGAGAGGAGAGGGTACTGTGACATCCTCATTTCTTTATTGTTTTGTCATTATAGTCCTCACTTCTCTATTGTTTATCTGTATGGTCGATCTGGCTAGGTCTAGACTACAAGTATTTGTCGGAAAAAGCTACGCAAAATGCCCTCCACATTTTGCATACCTTTTTCCGATTCTTTTGTCAGAAGAGGCTTTTCCAACATTTGACCCATCTAGAATGGGCCAAATGTCAGGAAAAAAAACCTCTTTCAGAAGCCCCCTTCTTCCTCAGGGAAGGAGGAATACAGGAGCTTGCAAAAGAGCATGTTTCCACTTCCACAAAAAAAAGCGGAAATGCACACGCGTTCCCTGGACTCAGCAGCGTTCCACAAAAAAAAGCGGAAATGCACACGCGTTTTCTGGACTCAGCAGCGGTTTTTTTGGGATACTTCTGGTATCCCGAAAAAAACCATAGGCTGTGTCTACATTGGCACCCCTTTCCGGAAAAGGGATGCTAATGAGACCAGTCAGAATTGCAAATGCTGTGGGGGATTTAAATATCCCTCGTGGCATTTGCATGAAGATGGCTGCCGCTTTTTTCCAGCTCGGGGTTTTGCCGGAAAGTAGGAATAAGGGATCTTCCGGAAAAGGGCTTATTTTCTGCAAGATCCCGTCTAGACCGGCATTTTTCTCCGGCAAAACCCCGAGCCGGAAAAAAGCGGCAACCATGTTCATGCAAATGCCGCGGGAGATATTTAAATCCCCCACGGCATTTGCAATTCCAACTGGTCTCATTAGCATCCCTTTTCCGGAAAGGGGTGCCAATATAGACACAGCCATAGTGTAGACATAGCCTCTAGTACTTTGATTCTGTCACAGTGTAATTAACTTTGCAGGGTGTAAACCAATTAAGATGGTGGGATATAATTGGTTAGGTCATTATGTTACAATGTCAGGAATAGTTAGTTAAATTTCAGTAAAATGATTGATTTAGGGATTGCTGAGAATATTACTATATAAATTGAAGGAAAACAAGAAGTAAGTTTGAAAAAGGAAATGGGATTCATGCTTGCTGGAAGCTAACACAAATAAACATCACATTGTTTTCATCTCCAGACTTCAGGTTATTGCTATTCTTTATTCATACAAGGATTATGGAAGTGGGAGGGTGAAGAGATAAGCCCTCCAACCATAACTATTTTCTGGGAACAGTTTTCCAACCAGTTATGCACTCACCTTATAGTAGCTCCATCTAGTCTGAATTTTCCAAGTTTGTTTATGAGATAGTATCAAAAGCCTTACAAAATTCAAGATATCCCACATCTATCACTTCCTCCCTTCCCTATACACAAGACTTATTACCTTGTTAAAGAAAGTAGTTTGGATGTTTTGACACAATTTGTTCTTGATAAATAACAGTCTACACAGAAGGTGATAAATCTAGGTATTTGCAAATTAATTGCTTAATTATTTGCTCCATTATCTTTCTGTGCACTGATGTTAAGCTGACTGACTGGTCTGTAATTTCCTGAGTTGTCTTTATTCACCTTTTTATAGATCGGGCAAATACAATGCCATTTTCCAATCCTCTGGAATCTTTCCCATCTATTTGAAGATAATCACTAGTCACTCAAATATCTCCCAGTCAGATCCCTGAGAATTCTAGGATATACTAATGCTGCATTAAATATGCATATTTAACAAAATGCAAGGAAATGCAGATATCATTGCCATACACATTTATACTTACTCCTGGAGGAATTCTGTGCCAAAAAAAAATTCTGCACACAATATATTAACATTTTGCAAATTTTATTTATCAATAAATAAATATGAAGGCTCCAGCATGGTAGTGGTGAGCCCAGGACACTGGCCGAATGGAGGTGGGATATCACCCTGCAAAATGCCGCCCTGAACCTTCACTCCACAGGTAGCTTTTCTGTGCAGTATTACTAGTCACTTGAATTCCCTCAGCTTACAGTTCCAGTTCTGTCATTGATTTTGCTAACGATGTCGCCCTCCCTTAACACCAACATGGAAGAAAAGGTTGCAACACTGGAAAAAACTGTCTCAATGACTGGACTGAGCATTCACAAGGGAAAGACCAAGACAGTGAGGAACAACCAGTCCAATAACACCACCATCACACTGGGAGGGGATAACCTGGAATATGTGGAGCAGTTCATCTACGTGGGGAGTATTATGGGCAGAGACAGAGGAACAGACAAGGATATCAATGCTAGGATGGGGAAAGCAACAGCTGCGTTCAAGACTCTTCATCCCATATGGAGTTCACAAATATCTGCTAAGATGAAACTGCGAATCTTCAACACAAATGTGAAAAGTGTGCTCTTGTATGGATGTGAGACCTGGCATATTAAAAAGTCTTAAATCACAAGCTACAGACATTCATAAACAGATGCCTGAGGTACATCCTTCACATCAAATGGCAAGATTTTGTCACAAATAAGGAGCTTTGGAACAGAGCAGGACAAGAACCTCTTGATATACAAATCAAGAGAAGAAAGTGGGGATAGCTAGGCCACTCTCTCAGACAACCATAATCCAGCATAGTCCATCAAGCCCTCACATGGAACCTACAAGGAAGACGCAAAAGAGGAAGACCTCAGACAACGTGGAGAAGATCTACTGAGATTGAAGGACAACAACTGGGGTACTCCTGGAGTCAGCTAGAAGTTTTGTCTCAAAACAGAGTGAAGTGGAAGAGACTTGTAGATGACCTATGCTCCACTTGGAATACAAGGGTTTAAGAAGAAGTGTCAGAGATCTATTTTGAAAATGTGTGTCTTTTTCAGAGAAATCTCAAAATCTTTCAGACAGACTTAACAGGAAAGATGTTGCATTTTCCCACATTGTATGTTGTTGCTACAGATGAAACCTAAATAAAAACAATGTAAGAGGTCCGCAGCAATCTGATCAATTAAAATGTGATTTGAGATTTTAAAATTCCAAAGAATTTGCTTTTATTTGTTTGTGATCCCTTTGTTGTCTCTGTGAATGGGCCTTGATCTTCTGAAGCAAAGAATATTCTTGATTCATTTGCTGAAGGTGTGTTTCAATTAGAAATATTAAGGCTTGAGAGCATAGAGATAAGCGGGACTTTGTGATTTCTGGACTCAAGATGATGACCAGTGTCAGAATAGCCAAAAATGTAACTATCTTTTAATAGTGTTTGGATCAATGTACCTCCACAAATCTGTGTTTTGTACTATAAACATTATAAATATCATTCAATACCAACCCTACAATCACCTGACAGATGAGCATCTTCACCAGTGCATACTCCTTGCCCTGACCTCCTATAAACCACTCTTTACAAAGTTTGCCAGATATCATCAAAGTCGCTTCTCCAATTAAAGATTGCCACAAACATAGGCAATAATTTTGTTTTATAATCTTCATTATAATATAGGAATACTAACACTTACATTGCAATCAGGGCCTTTATTTATTGGAAACTGAAGTGT